GCATTAAAGATGTAATTGATGCCCTCTCCGGCGCCACAATCTTCTCAAAACTTGACGTAGCTTGGGGCTATTGGCACATCGCCATACACCCTGATGACATCGAGAAAAGCGCATTCGTTACACAAGATGGTCACTTTGAATGGCTCGTAATGAGTTTCGGACTCCGTAACGCCCCAGCAACTTTTCAGCGCGTGATCCAAAAATCACTTGGAGATCTACTCTACAAGGGTTGTATCTCTTATCTCGATGACATCATACTGTATTCAAAGACAGAAGATGATCACATAAAACTAATTGAACAAGTGTTCACCCGCCTTCGCTCTTACAATATTAAGTTACGCCGCGAGAAATGTCAATTTGGTCTCAAAGAAATTGACTATTTAGGTCATACAATTGGACACAACATTGTTAAGCCCTCACAAGAAAAAGTCAATGCAGTAAAAAACTTTCCACGGCCCACATGTCTCAATGAATTACAAAGATTTCTCGGTCTAGCGAGTTATCTCAGAGAATTCGTTGACAACTTCGCCCGCATGGCCGCTCCATTGACACAGCTCACAAGAAAGTCACAACAATATATTTGGAAAAATGATCAACAAAACAGTTTTGATGATCTAAAGAATGCAATCACTTCAGCTCCTGTACTCGCTATATTCAATCCAGATTTACCAGTAGAACTACATTGCGATGCCTCAAAGGTAGGCATAGGCTCAGCATTGTTCCAAGCCGGACACCCAATTGCCTATTATTCTCGTCGCCTTAATGGACACGAAGAAAACTATACTGCTTCAGAGCTCGAGTGTTTAAGTGTTCTCAACTCCATTGAACACTTTGATGTCTATCTAGATGGCACAGAGTTCACCGTAATCAGCGACCATAGCGCTCTCCAATGGCTCTTTAATTTCAAAAATCCAAAGTCCAGACTATATCGTTGGTCAGTTAGACTATCAGTCTATAACTTTAAAGTAATACACCGCAGTGGCAAAAAGCACACATTGGCCGACGCCTTATCGCGCGCACCAGTCACCAGTCTTCTTACAATTGAAGAGATAAAAGACAAACAAAAGGACATGCAAGTACAGAAACACGAGTACATTCACAACAATATAATCTACAGGCAAACCAAAGGTGTTAAGCGTATAAGAGTTCCACCACCGCTCGTGCCTAAACTATTAATAGAAATGCATGACAATCATGGCCACCCTGGTATAAACAAATGCATCAAACGTATATCCAGACAATACTATTGGCCGACAATGTCTACTGATATTCCAGATTATGTCCGCTCATGCCATGCATGCCAACTGGTCAAGCCCTCAAATCACCAGCCGTATGGATCACTCCATCCCCTTGAGTCACCGCCTGAACCATTAAAGCTGATAGCAATGGATACTATCGTTCTCGGTTCAGTCGCTAAAACCACAAGAGCTAAATACATACAAGTAGTTATTGACCACCACAGCCGCTACGTTTGGGCCGCCGCAACAAAGACAAACACTACCGCTGCCGCTATATCTGTATTGGAAAAAGTATTCACTACTATACCGCCACAACTTGGCCTCCGTCTCCTAACAGACAATGGATCAAACTTTACTTCACGAGAGTTTAATAAATTTCTTAAGGACAAGAATATAAAGCACTCCTACACAACCACATACCATCCCGAGACCAATGGGATGAATGAAAAGGCAAATCATACAGTTGTAACCCGTCTCCGTATTGCTCAGCAACTATCACCCAAGAAACTATGGTCTACACTATTGCCCGATGTTATCAAAGAATACAACAAAACTCTACATTCTGTTACAGGTTTCTCTCCCGAATATCTACTACTAGGCATCAACAATGAAAGCACTGACATTCCGTTACCAGACGCCCGCAAATTGGCCACCGAACGTACTGAAAAGTTTAAATTGGATAAGAAAAAGCAATATGATCGAATGCACAAGTCTATTACTTTCCAGATTTCAGACCTTGTTAAACGCCGTATACCAGAAAATCACCCGTCCAGAAACAAACTCACTCCAAAATATTCCGCTCCGTATGAAGTAATTGAAAAGACCTCAGACCTGAACTATCGCATCCGACATCTCGACAACCCGTCCGACATATGGCACATCCATGTCCAGTCGTTGGAGCCCTACTACACTCGTAGTAGTCCTCTTTCAAGTCGCGGGGAGTGAGAGAATCGACAATTTATTTAATTAACTTTTCCCTTATGTTTTGTTAGCAATAGCCTATATTTTAATTATCAACCGGATGAATGCCGCACTACTCCCTTCAGTTGCTTAATACACGTTAACACTAACAGTTGTTTTAATTATTAATACACTCTAAAATTGCTTATTGTTTTAATCTGCTATTTGTGCCTAAATTTATAATAAATACTTTGATTTTGTGCATTACTCGACTACTTTTATTAAACTGTGTAATATTTGGCATCTGACATAGGACATTTGTGGGTCCTAATAATCACATCCACCACANAATCTGCTATTTGTGCCTAAATTTATAATAAATACTTTGATTTTGTGCATTACTCGACTACTTTTATTAAACTGTGTAATATTTGGCATCTGACATAGGACATTTGTGGGTCCTAATAATCACATCCACCACAAATTAATTACATTTTATTTTTATCTCAAAAATATATTGACAGTATATTATAGACTAAGCCTGTCCAGTCTTTTTTAGTATATCACAAGTACAGTTTTACAGTGTGCCATAAAAAGGTGGCGCAACGATCAGTAAAAAAGTTTAGGTTTGTCAGTATTAAACAAGAAACACCACGTGAAGGTCATCCTAATAATTTCTCACCCATTTTTATACGTGGTTGGCTTTCAGTCTATCCACAAAACGTCATTTAAAACAAAATTTAATTATTAAATACACATTTTAATTAGATTTGTGATATTGATTGCGATAATCAACAAGTTTTATAATATTTGACTCAATCATATTTGATGATCATATTTTCAAACGTGATCTTAATGTTTTTGCGCAAATACTACCAGTTTTGTTCACAATTAAAAGTAGATCCAAAATATGTTAGAATTGTAAATGCATTATTTATTAATAATGGGAGTTTACATATAGCGTTACGCTGAAAATGTATTGCATTAATAACGTCAAACATAATTTTAATCCAAACTTTAAAACATAATTTTAATGTTGTTTATGACAATTGGCTTTTCTACTTCAAGTTCCCAAAAGGAACTTGACTGAACAGGAGGATTATAGACCAAACTTTAATTTATGTGACAATAAAATAAATAATAATTACATTTATAGTCGAATCTAATTAAACTAAATAAACACTACTAGTAATGAAAATAAATATGAAGTAATTACTGTTCAATATATTAATGTATAATATATTACATTTTATATCTATTAATATTTTATCTCTTTTATTATTAGATATTTTCGGACATCACTTGATGTCTAAACATTATTATTATATGAAAATAATTTAATAAAACATTTTTTATTATCCCTTCTCTTCATATATTATGTTTAATAATATTGATATTTCATCAGTAAATTAACGTTTGTTTTATATAACGGCTTAATTTGGACTAAAAATATATTTACTTAATTTAATTAACCACAAAAAACCACTAATACTAATTATATTTCCATCACATATAAAATAAACGCAAACCTATTCAATATTATTATTATTAACTCGTTGTTGTAATACTAAATGTTCACAAACCAAATGATAAAAAACATGTCTCAGCCGTACGACAACACAAATGGCCTAAACTTTATATTATTAATTCACAGGATATACGGCCTGTCCTATCGGGGCGTCAATATCGGTAACCGATGCGCGAAATACGTGTGCATTTTGTGGAACCTATTGTTACCAGTCGTCCACTTCTTGACACTTGTCTTCATTCTCGACAACTTTATTCACCTGAAAGAGAAGACCAGCAAAATCTCGGGCCAGAAGTCATTCTCCGTTTTGATGATACTCTTCCGCATCTCATTCTTCAATCACATCTTCGAGATGTATATCATTTACGCCATTATAGCGGCCAAAGGGGCGGCTATTGTGACCGCCATTAAGGCCAAACTGGTGGCCGAGTGTCGACTCGACGACCGCGTCGTCGGCTATACCATCATTGGTGTGCAGATAATCTTCTCCTACCTCTTCATCACAATATATCTGTTAACGTATACCAAACCATTCAAACCGCTGGAGTTTTTTCTCAAGTTTGTGTTCATACCGTTCGACGTGATTATTCCCTCGTCGGTCATCGCACTCATACTCTACAAGAGTCTTATGATTGGCAAACAGTTGGATCACTTGAAACAACACTACCAGTCCTATCGGATGTTTGACTTCTACGCGATGCTAATCAAACTGAAGGCCAATATGTGCGAACTCAACGCCGCCCTATCGCCCATCATGTTGATCATGATCATCAACAGCTCGCTGGTGCTAATCACCGACATCTGTATGTTTATCATCAAATACAACACTTACGCGAGTCATATGTCCACCAAATTTATTGTCAATTACATGCTCTCAACGGTAATGCATTTGTTGACTATAATCATGTTGTGCTGGTCTTGCGATTTGGTCCACAACGCCATCAACTCATTCGTACAGTTTGTCGAGATTAAGGCCACCGACCGGTTGTCGGCCGACGCCGGCGGCGGCGATGGCGGCGAACGGATGGCCGTTAAGATTGATTTGCAACTCATCGCCGATATTAGCAAAAAGATATCATTTAACGCCTCAAAGATTTTCGACATTCATTTGTCTACTATTCTGGCCATCGTTTCGGCGATCATCTCCTATACTGTTATTCTCATTCAGACAACACTTTTCGAGTGATTTTATGAGCTTTTAATTTAGAAATATATTTATGACTTATTGTCGCAAAAATTATTTTATTAATTTACAATTAAAAACAAACTTTAACTAGAAATAAACTAAACAAAAAATTAACATAATCTATCATTTAAATAAATATATTATAATTTCAATGATGATAAGCAGATACTCGAAATTGTTTTGTGCTCTAAATAAATACAAATATATTTAAAATTAACTAAATTCTACATGGATGCTTGCTAAATAAATTGTACTGACCCCATAATATGTGTATACAGTCATTGTCCAGTCCTTATAGTCTCCGAAATGTCGTATCCGATAAACACCTGGTGTCGTGTCGTCGGGTATATCCCATATAATAGTCGCTATACTGTGACACGAAAATAAAGGAAAGCCTACTTTTTGCCAGAGAAACCTATCATTTGTGCGGTCATATTTAGCAATAATGTTAATACAGTATTAGTGTATTTTTTGGAATTAATTAATTAATTTTTAATTAATTCCATGTGAATTAGTAATTGGTATTTATCCTAATATAATAAATGTATAATTATTTTTTGATAATTCAAATATACTGTCACTTTCAATAAATTATTTTCTAAAGTTATCTTAATATCTCTACTGTTTTTAAAACATTATTTTTATATAAACTTAAATTATAATAATCTTATATAATCTAATTATATGTTGAGTACAAAACCTGGTCTCCCAGTTGGCATCGGTGGCCACGAGTGTCCATTTGTTAGTATTGCTATCGAAGCGCTCGACGGCCAGGAATGTGCTCTCGTCGCGGACACTATTGCGAGGATTGCCGCTAATAAAACTCACTTTAACTCGCGATCCAATCGTGTATTCACCGTTAGGTTCGGTAATACAGTCGCCAAACTTTTTGCCGCCGGGCGAGCAATCAAACAACACTCCCGGCACTAGACTTATCTGTTTGTTCAAATAATTGGGCTCAGATGGACCGGACGGCAGCTGATTATGGGTGCCGGCGGCCAATCGGGAGGCCAACAGTCGGTACTGTTGTAGATATGCGTCCAGAGTGTACGGCCCGTATACAGTGGACGCCCCCTCATAGCGCTGTATTTGATATCTGTTGGACAATAAAACAAATATTTATTGTGTCTTTTCGTTGGCAACAATTTTGGTAGTAATTACTCCTCGAAAGTGGTCACGTATGACGAGTACGTGTTGGACAGACCCGATATGATGGGCACAACCGATATGTTTTGCTGGGAATTCATTTCGTACGCGCTTTTGACGGCATCCCTGAGCCGTCGGCCGGACATTGTGGTCAACTCCGCGGGAACCGACGCCACCAACACGTGTCCGATCCTCAGTATCTGTGTGGGCAAAATGGACGGCTGCCACGGATACGGCCACTTCAGGTCACCGGTGGGCAGCAGCACAGGCTTCGGGTGTTGACACGACAACAACTCTCGGGTCGCGTTTTTTACCCGAGACTTATATTTACGCCACAATCTATTGGTTGTATCGCCTAATCATAGTATTTGCTAAATGTTTAAACCCCGGGTATAACTTATCAATAATGATTACCTTGTTTAAATGGAAAGTACCCTGGTCCATCTGTGGTGCCGGCTGCAAAACTTACACCCATAGCGGCCTTACATGTTTTGCCAGTGGTATTGTCCGGCAAAGTGATTGTCACGTTTTCCATGTTAATCGTTTGGTGGACGTACTCTATAGGGCCCGACACCTCCTGCGAGGCCTTATCGTACAGGTCTTTGGCGAACCGATACTGTCGGTCGCCTATGATTCGTGTGCTCTCAAACATGTCACTCCCCGGACCAAACGCTATGCATTTCTCTACCTTTTTGAAAATGGTTTAAATTTTACATATAATTACAACAACAGAAAAACTCTGACATTACGTTTCCATTGCAAGTACTGGTGACGGCATCGCACGGGAGGCCAGTGTCCACACAACGGGGGCCTTTCGTATTGGGAGAGACGTCGCCCTCATTGGAGTTGGGAAACAGGGCCACAAACGGGCCCTACATTATGGTAAAAATAACATATTTAATGCCATAAATGCAGACATATTGAACAATTGCATACTTTGCCCACAAGTGTACCGCCATTGATGTCTTGTTCAAAACGCATAGAGGCGTAGCCCTTGTTATCACCGCTTATCAGATGATTAGTGTTGTTCATTGAAGTGCAGTGGACGGGAAACCAGGCGACGGCGCCCAACGGTTGGCCACTAGTGGTGACGAGTTTAAGCAATGTCATAGTGGTGTCTGTGTTGGCCCCGTATCGGTCCCTTTCGGCCCGAGGGTTGTTCTCGTAAGCGGTGGGACTTCTGTTAATATTTGTGTCCAAGAGTTGGCCGCTGTTGACGAGTATCCGGCCGTCGGTGACCGCCGAGTGGGCCCTCTCTATACTGCGGACAATACCGGCGACAATGGCGTCAAAGTTTTGCCAAACAAATCCCAGATTAGGCACGTTATACATGAAATAGTTTAGAAAACCGCCCGGAGCTGAATGGGACCTTCACGTGGTGTTTCTTGTTTAATACTGACAAACCTAAACTTTTTTACTGATCGTTGCGCCACCTTTTTATGGCACACTGTAAAACTGTACTTGTGATATACTAAAAAAGACTGGACAGGCTTAATATATGGTATACTTATTAATGTGCACTTTTAACGTATGCTTTAAAATGTTTGACTCATGGGATAACTATTAATCTGGTCATTCAATGTCTCTGATAAAATAAATATTAATTGTTTTAATCTCTATGGGTTAAAAATATTAGACTATACAGTATATTGAAAATTACATAACAATAAAACATTCATATATTATACACGTACTTTAGATTAACAGAAACATTGAAAATACATTATGTTCATAAGTACACTATTAGGACAATGTATTCGTAAAGTAAATAATTTAAATGTTTTAAATTTAGCATGTTTACGATAGTGTTTTATGCGGTTCATTAAATAAATACAACATTTAAAATCCATTTTCAT